AATTTTCCCACTCCTACCTTTATTCGTGTCATGGTACAATAAATGTGTTAATTCACAAATTCAACAGACACACCGTCTTCTAGTAGACAATATTAACACGTGAGTACTAATAATAGAAGATAAGATGTTGACAAGCATGGCTGGTTTCTCAACCACACATATATTTATAAGGCTGCAAAAGAGCATCTTCAATTCTCCATACTAGTAACTTAACTTAGTTCTTATCTTATTTTACTAAAACACAAATAATTTGACAATTATGGTTATAACATATGTAACTTTTTTTTAAATACAATTAATTTATTTTTAGTATTTCTAAAAAACTTCCGCAATTTTTATTTTATTTTTTACAAAAAAATTAATAATTTATTTTTAATATTTTGAAAACAACTTTCTCCACTATTTTTGGCTTCGAATGGCAAAGTATTTTTTTAAGACTTTTATCTAAATTAGTGAAATAAATATTTGATATTTTTACTATGCCACATTTAAAAGAATGTCATGTTATAATAAAATGGTGAAAATGATTAAGTGGTGATAAATAAACAAATTTGATAAAATTATTTTTCAAATAATGCAATAAGGGATATATATATAGAGCTAAATTAAAAGAGGAACTTAACACGTATAGATTTCATTTGTTTTTTTTATCAAATAAAAGTTACAAAGAGAGGATGAACACAATATATTGTCTTTTTAGTCAAGAAATTTTCATTGTACAAAATAGTTTTTTTTCCTCCTTTTTGTGTGAATGGTGGAGTCTGGCACGTGGATTGAAGTTATAGCATATACGGACACAGCAAGGGTGAAATATTCTGATGATGAACTTAGAGCATCCGTATTGGTGATACAATGTGGGTATCATTAAATATAAAATTATTAAAATTTGAGTTAAAGGAAGAAAGATAGTGTTTTTGGTTGAAATAGTGGAGTGTATTGAAATATAAAATTAATAAAATTTGAGTAAAGAGAAGAGATAATTGATATTTTTGGAGAGAGGGTATCAAATAGTTGATACTTTTGATATTTTTAAAGAGAGAAATAGAGAGTGTATCAAATGTTTTTAATAATTTTATATTTAAAAAGAGTATAAAATTAATAAAAATTGAATAAAATGATGAAAGAGAAAGTATAAAGTTGAGTAAAAGAAAGAGAAAGTGTGTTTTTAATATTTGTTTATTCAACTGATACTCTTCTTGTATCATGGATGCTCATGCTCCTATTGGCCAAGTGTTAACGCGAAAATAATCAATTTTTTTGCCTGTCTCGAATCTCCAGAAAAAATAATAAGAGTGACATTTACACAAAAATCTCTTTAATTTGGTGTGTCGAAAGACTGTCACGGGAAGAACATGAGCTACATAAGTTAGAGACGATGTGGTTGTGTCCGACATAACAGTAAGTTTTGTTTTATAACATGAACATGTGAGGTAATTCTGCCACCAACATATGCATTTGGTATGATCGTGTTACAGACAAATATATATGGACAAGAAACAGTATTCCACAGTACATAAAAGCTTATATTATTATAAGTAACCAATATCTGGAGCAGTTGTACATGTCATACGATCACTCCATGATTAAAACATGCTTATTCTATATAAGATACACACACTATTAAGCTCCGAAAGAGTTTTGGCAGATTAACATTGGAAGTAACAGCGACACTTGTTATGTGGAAATTCAAAGGTGCAAGATCCATATCGTGCTCCCTCAAAGTTAACGCACTGATTCTTGCACGCTATACGGTCTCTACACACTCCTCCTGTCCATGTCTTACTTGGCTTATAGCACAACTTCTGCGCTTCCACCACTGTTAGTGTTTCTGCATATATACATATATCTCAAGGTTAATTATTAATATTAACTATTGTCAAAACAATTTTTAAAAAAAGGAAATTTTAAAGCTTATTTTACCATGCATATGATAATTAAAAGATCATTACTCACCAAGAGCAGCAAAGGAAACAAGAACAGCGAAGAGAAGGGTAATGATGATGGAAGCAAACTTTGCCATGATGTCTATTACTTTGTTTTCAATGTATACATGTGTGTAGTGTGAGGAAATAAGCTTAAGATCAAATTCTATTTATAAAAAAATGGTGGTGAGTTAGTGTCTTTATTCGTGTCATGGTACAATAAATGTGTTAACCCCCACAAATTCAACACATACCATCTTCTAGTAGACAATAGAAGATAAGATGTTGACAGATGGCTGGTTCCTCAACCACATATATATAAGGTTGCCTCTCTATCCAATGTAAAACCTAATAGAGGTTGGATATCTTCTAACCATGTTCGTTGCATGAGTAGTATAGCGCTAAAAGAGGAAGTTTAGACATCAATGATAGATGATTGGCTTATGGCTATTTGCTTGAGTCGTAAGGAAGAATTGGTTTTGAATAAACAAATTGGGTTTTTTCTTAAAACGTGAATTAAGCTAACACGTTGTTGGTTAACCTCTACATTTGGATATTTTAAAATATTTTATTTTTTTTAAGAACTAGAGATAACTAATTTATATGCATATTTTAAAAATATTTTTTTAGCTAATCGAATATACCCCTATATGAATGCTCCAATTGCATAAAGACGATTCGGGTACGTACTACATAAAAGTTTGTATTATAAGTTTAAAACCAAACATTGAAACATAAGCATACATGTCATTAGGTCACTCGTGGGGTGACAGTCTTATTTTATGTAAAATACACACATTAAGCACCAGAGTTTTCGGGTAGATCGATTAACACTGGAAGTAACAGATACATCTGAAATATGGGAAGATATAGTTGCAAGATCCATGACGTGCTCCCTCAAGGTTAATGCACTGATTATTGCATGCATTAGTGTTTCCATAAGCTCCTGACCATGTCCCACTTGGCTTCTCACAATACTTTTGCGCTTCCGCCATTATTGGTGCTTCTGCATATACATAACTCAAGATTAATTACGCATTAATCATTTATCGAATAAATCTTAATATGAAAAGAGTAAATTGATTACTCATTTTTCCATGTTTACGATAAGATCATTACTCACCAAAAGAAGCAAAGAGGACAAGCGCAGCGAAGAGAAGAGCGATGATGGAAGCAAACTTAGCCATGATCACTATTATACTCCTTTGTTTTCAATATTGTATGTGTTGAAGTGTGAGGAAATAAGCGTAAAACCAGCCTCTATTTATAGTTTATTGATGGTGAGTTTTACTCTTATACTTTTCATCGTACAATTAACGTGTTAAACCCCACAAAAATAATGCAATACACATATTGTCTTATCTCCCTGTTGTTACTAGGCTTGACTAGTTTCTCAAACACTCTCTATCTGAAGTAACCCAGGTGGCTGCTTTGGCTTCGAGTCAGTGCTATATCACTCACATGGGCGGCTGGTTAATCTAAGGTGTTGTTCGTTTGTGTTTCCAGACGCGGCATCCAGACACAGCATCCAGACGCAGCATCCAGACGCAGCATGCAGATGATGTTTGTTTGTGTGTTTGATTAATGCATCCAGAAATTATAGCTGGATGCAGTTATGTTCGTTTGGTGTTTCTATCTTTGTATCTAGATGCGTTTAATATAAAATGACCAAAAACCTCATGTTTTGTGTTAATACTATTATTTATGATTTAAATTAAAAAAATAACGAAAGAATTATCAAATTAATTTTAATATACTTTTAATAAATGTTATTACACAAAATAATTAAATTTAAAAAATAAAATCATTTTCATAACTTAATAGTCCACTATAAATAATATTTTTGAATTTTAAAATATTCTCCTTAACCAAAACATCTAAACATTTCATGAAAGACTTTTCATTATATGACAAAACATCTAACACAAACCAACATCGACCAATATAATGGATTAAAATACAATATCAATTCTAATTGTCTATGAAATTATTAAGCTTTTGTTGATCAATTATGAAAACACGAACATAGAATAAAATAAAGCAGAGAACAAAAGATTGAACACTATAATATATTTTGTGGTCCTAATATGGA